AGGACAGCACACACTACAGGGGAAGTCAGCACAACTGGACTAAACCAAAGCTAAGAAGTTTCCTGAATACAAACAAACACTTTGAGGGACAGAGTAGCAGGGATGCGGGGTCTGAGCACCATGTTTTCAGGGGACATCTAGGTCAACTGGCATAACAAAGCTTATTAAGAAAATGTTCTGCATCCTACTTTGGTGAGTAGCATCTGGGGTCTTAAAAGCTTGCAAGCGGCCGTCTAAGATGCATCAATTGGTCCCAACCACCTGCAGTAAAGGAGAATGAAGAACACCAAACACACAAGGAAAGTAGTAGCCAAGAGACAGAAAGGGCCACAGAAACCAGAGACTTCATCAACCTGAGACCAGAAGAACTAGATGGTGCCTGGCTACCACCAATGACCACCCTGACAGGGAACACAACAGAGAGTCCCTGACGGAGCAGGAGAAAGGTGGGGTGCAAAACTCAAATTCTAGTAACAAGACCAGACTTAATGGTCTGAATGAGACTGAAGGAACCCCAGAAAGCATGGCCCCCAGATTCTCTATCAGCCCAGAACTAAAACAATTTCCGATGCCAACTCTTCAGATGGGGATTGGACTGGACTGTGGGACCTAAAGTGATACTCATGAGGAGTGTGCCTTTTAGCTCAAGTAGATACAAGAGACTAAACAGGCAGCTTCTGTCCGGAGGTGAGATGGGAAGGCAGAGAGGGTTAGGAGCTGGTTGAATGGACATGGGGAACCAGGGGTGAAAAGGAAGAGTGTGCTGTCACAGTATGGGGAGAGCAATTAGGGTCACATAACAATGCATATATAAATTTTTGTATTGGAGACTAACCTGAAATGTAAACTTCATTTAAACTACAACAATAAACAAAAAAAGCTCTGTGAGCAGCCATCTAAGATACTCTACTGGTCTCACCCCTTCTGGAGCAAGGGAAAAATGAAGAAAACCAAAGACACAAGGGAAATATTAGTCTAAAGGACTAATGGACCACAACTACCATGACCTCCACCAGACTGAGTCAAGTACAACTAGATGGTGCCTGGCTACCACCACTGACTGCTCTGACAGGGATCTTAATAGAGGGTCCCGGACAGAGCTGGAGAAAAATGTAGAACAAAATTCTAACTCACAATAAAACACTAGACGTACTCGCCTGACAGACACTGGAGAAATCTCTGAGAGTATGGACCCTGGACACCCTTTTAGCTCAGTAATGAAGTCACTCCTAAGCTTCACCCTTTAGTCAAAGACTAGACAGGCCCATAAAACAAAACGAGACTAAAGGGGTACACCAGCCCAGGGGCAAGGACTAGAAGGCAGGAGGGGACAGGAAACCTGGTAATAGGGAACCCAAGGGGTTGTTAACCAGTGTCAAAAAACAACATGTGTACTGTTTAATGAGAAGTTAGTGTGTTCTGTAAACTTTCATCTGAAGAACAGTAAAAAAAAAAAAAAAAAAAAAAAAAATCACATAAGCATGCAAGAAGGGCAAAAAAAAAAAAATAATAATGACTCTAGGCAAGGATCATCAAACAATGCTAAATCAGGTAAATGCTTGAAGGGGAATTTGATAGTGGGTGCAACACAACCCAAAATTCACTGATCAATCTTACCATCACTAAAAGTGGGATAAACAGACATGGGTGCCACATGATATGATGCAACAGAGAAGTACAGAATATCATTTATGAAGGATCCTGTTTCTAAGAAAATCTGAACCTGAATCTAATCAAACGTCTCTACCTTGATGAGTATAGATTAATTACCAGTTGACAGGAAATAAAGAGAAAGAAGAGCAAGTTAATCAACAAGACATGAGGAAACAATCAGGCAAATAAAAATATGGTACAGGACAAATTATCCAATTTCTGTAATAAATCAAGAATAAAAAAATAAATCAAAAGGAGACTCTTACAGAATAAAAGAAACTTAAGAGACACAACAAACCTGGGAAGAAAAGGACAGGCAGCAGGTTTGCAATCTATTTTCTCCCTCTATTGGTCACTTCCAGAAAGAAAGACATGACTGGGTCAAATCCCCTGGAAAGCATGCTGTTAAACACATTAATGGTATTTCCTAGCAGGATGCAATGAATCTGTCTAGGCTGGCTATTATAAATAAATCTAGAATGTATGGATTTATGGAGCATGACCCCCTGGAAAATGTCACATAAGCTATGTAATTACCAAAAAAAAAAAAAAAAACCCATCGCAATCAAGTCGTTTTGACTCATAGCAACCCCAGACAAGGTTTCCAAGGATGTAAATCTTTATGGAAGCAGACTGCCATATCTTTCTCCCTCAGAGCAGCTGGCGGGTTAAAACAGCCAACCTTTTCCGATTAGCAGCCAAGCGCTTAACCACTGCACCACCAGGGCTCGCTCCTTCAAGCTAGGTAATTAAAGGGAGATATTCAATAACTGAAATAGCTCCCTTTTGTGTATGACAATCCACATGCATCACTAGAGGCCTCATGTGTTAAATACAGGCCAAGGTACATTCTTATGCAGCAAGAAAAGACCTGGGGACCAGTGTATGCAGTCCCAGATTTCTCTAGGTTTACCTGTGTTTTATGGTTACCTGTATCCTTAAAATTATTAGTAAAGTTTGATTCTGAGTAAGACTGTTGAGTCTCATGAATCTGACTCATAGTGTTTCTAATTTTAAAGAATCCAGTCTTTATATGCTGGTTGAGTTAATGAAAACTAGGTAAGTGAGCTTATTATAGTCAGGGGTTGGTATGTAAGATCAACCTTCAATGCAAATACAATATACGTTAAGTAAAACGTGTTTTCCAAAATAAAAGTTTTTAAAATAATGTTTGCTAAAACGAACGTTCAATCTCAAGGTTAACAGATCTTGACACTATTAAAACCAATCTTATGAAATTATTAAAACCAAAACTAATACAGGAAAGCTTTTTACATTTCTTAATAAACATACTTAAAAACAATACTGTCATGACAAGATAGAGAATGAATATAGTCATAGCTTTTATGTTTTTGGTAGCTAAATGTAAATCTCACAAACTTTTCTATCTAAAAATGGCTAATAATCAAAAATATTTAACTAACAACTTACTAAAGTTTCTCTACAGAGTTCCCACTAAAAAAAGCTGTGGATTCTTGTTTCAACTTTAATGTTAATCGCAGGTGAATTAAAGATATTTGGGACTAACAAAATTTCCACAATGCATACACAGACAGACAGCCGGCCCACAAAGGACATGCAGTTGGGTAAGCGGACATACCAGCAGATGTCCCATCTGGCTAGAGGTAACAATGCAGTGGAAGCCAGTATAGAAGTGGGTGACAGCCCTAGAATCAAACTCAATTACATATCTCAGAAGATTAACAACGAGGTATTCCAACTAGTGAGGACTACTGAAAAGAAACATACAGCCAATAACACTAACTTTGCACAATTTGACCCCACATAAGTCCCCAGAGAACATAGGTAACACCTCAGGGAGAAACAGGGGAAAAGACCTGGACTGAGTTTAAATCTTCAATGATTGTGAGGGAAAAAAAGTAGCCAAAATAAGCTGGAATTAACTGACTAGATTACATTATCTATTGCCAAACAGAATGGGGCTAACAAAGAAACCCAGTTCAGAGTCCTTATCTTAGCAGGAAATACCTGGTCTGTCTAGATCGCTCACTGTAAATAAACCTGGAATTTATGGATTTGTAGGGAAGGCTCCTTGGAAAAGTGTCATAATTATATATATTAATAAATATCAGTATATTTTAGTCGTTTAACACAGCACACAAATGACTAAGGCATTTCCATACCTTCTGCATGACTTTTCTTGCCCACCTCAACTGCAAAATGTACCACTGTGCTGCTGGAAAAGAACACCGAGCTGCCCGGAAAAGCAAGAGAACGCGCTGAAGGATTCCAGACACCTTTTGGCGATAATCTTTTTCAGCTTTTAAAAGAAGATCATCACCATCTTCCTGAGGAAAAATATGAAACAATAAATTTTAGTAGCTAGTAATATGGAAACTTAAAACATTGAAGTGGAAATAAAGATGTTGTTGTTGTTAGCTGCCACCAAGTTGATTTTGCCTCACGGTGACCTGATGTGTGCAAAGTTAGAACTACTCCACTGGGTTTTCAGGGCTGTGACCTCTTGGAAGCAGATCACCAGGCTTATCTTCCAAGGCGCGTCTGGGTAGGTTCAAACCGCCTATCTTTCAGCTAGTGGTCGAGCGCTTAACCTTTAGGCTAATGACATTCAGTGCTTCTCAAGCTAAGATATTCCTGGAGAACTGTAAAGAACATTTTGAGGCATGGCCTTTGAGTTTTCAACTATAGCTGTTTTAGTGTTGAGAAAACACATTTCTCTTCCCTCAAAAAATGTAAAGGTCTAAACTGACTCTAATCCCACATCTTCTTCCTAGAGTAGTTCAAGCCCACTACTCCTAATTCCAGTGATGGAATGTTACAGAGACAGCTTCTTCTATGCCTGGACAAATCCTACCACTTCAATGTCACCTCCTCTGTGAAGCCCTCCCCCTCGGTGCTACTACAACACTTTGCTCATATCTGCATTTATAACATTTACAATTTATTCTGTATAAATCAACGTATTTGTTACCCTTTTTATTGAGAACTCTTCAAGAACAAGGCCCTTGTCATCCATCTTTGTATTATCATATGCATGTGAAAGCTGGACAATGAATAAGGAAGATCGAAGAAGAATTGATGCCTTTGAAATACGGTGTTGGCGAAGAATATTAACTATATCATGGACTGCCAGAAGAATGAACAAATCTGTCTCGGAAAAAGTACAGCCAGAATGCCCCTTAGGAGCAAGGATGGCGACAGTTCATCTCATGTACTTTGGACACGTTATCAGGAGGGACCAGTCTCTGGAGAAGGACATCATGCTTGGTAAACTAGAGGGTCAGCGAAAAAGAGGAAGACTTTCAATGAGATGGATGACACAGCAGCTGCAATAATGGGCTCAAACATAGCAATGATTGTGAGGATGGCTCAGCACCAGGCAGTGTTTCTCTCTGATGCATATAGGGTCGCTATGAGTCAGAACCAACTTGACAGCACCTAACAACAACAGTGTATAGAACAGAGTCCAGCATGTAAGAGGACTCCAATAAATGTTTGCTGAATAAATGCTGTCTGAGCCAGTAGCTAATGATTATTTTCCCAGATAGTGAGATAATGTGAAAGCTGTAAATAGCTGCTTCCCCAGCATCCTTACCCCTTCCCACTTCTTAACAGTAATCAGTTTTTATTTGGGTACTTGCCACTCCCCTATACAGTCCATATCACTCGGGGAAAGCTGATCTCGCATCTCCAGCTTCCAGGGAAAGCCCTCATTGATTGTCGATCAGTTCCTTGCATTAACCCTAGCCTTAGAGACTCATTCAGGACAGAATATTAATCATATATTAAAATAATTAAAATGTAAATCATTTACAACCACATGTTAAATCTTTAAAACAGCTAAGTGTATGTTATGATTTTCAGTAAGAGCAGAGGAAAAGTTACTAAGACGTACACAATATTGCTATTTATAAGACAGAACTATCAATTGAATTGTCAGGAGAAAGAAAATGACTTTTCTAATCAAAGAAAAATCAAAATAAGTCTTTCAAAAAAGCCAAATAATGAGGTGAATCGAAGATTGAAATAATGTATGGCTTCTAAATTCTGACATTCATTATTTTATTTGTTATCCTGAATAAATGCCTATTTAAAAAAAACTGGATATTGAGAATCATCTATTAATTTTGTTGTATTATTGCAATAATTCTCACATTTACTGACTGCTTACTACATGGCCCAGGCACTGAACTAAAAGTTTTTACAAAATATCTCACTTAATCCTGACAATAATGCTATGAGATAGGCACTACTTTTTATCATCTGCATTTTACAAAGAAGGACACCTAAATAGCAATGTAGAAGGAGTCCTGGTGGTGCAGTGGTTAAGCACTCCACTGCTAACCAAAAGGCTAGTGTTTCAAACCCACCAGTCGCTCCACAGAAGAAAGATGTGGCAGTCTGCCTCCATATAACATTTACAGCGTTGGAAACACTATGTGGAAGTTCTACTCTGTCCTACAGGGGCACTACGAGTCAGAATCAACTTGACAGCAATGGTAAACAGCAGTATAGTACACTGCTCAATGATTATTATCAACGGAATTATTTAAAAAATTGGACAAAATCAACTTTAAATGAATTTCAAGTTTAATGAGCTAAACTTACTTCACTAAGAATAGCTGGCTGAGGACAATATAACGGAGGGGCTGGAAGGTACAAGCCTGCAGGCACTAAGCCCCACAGTCTCTTACTGAAGTCTTTGGCAGAGTCTATCAGAAGTTGAAATGTCTCTGAAAGAACATCTGCATCAGCCATAGCTGCTGCTTTCAGTACTTCTTGCACGGAACCAAATAAAAGATTTGCATCTTCCTCTTCAATGGGATCTACCAAATACAAAATTAGGTAAAACAGTTGAAAATTACATTCTACTTATCCTATTTTGTACAATAAAATTCAGAACAGAAAAAGTTGATCAAGAATGAACATACTTGTTAACATGCATAACGTCCAAACTTACAGACAGAAATTTATGGAGTATTTTGTTATCTTAAGATTATAGGCAATTAGAGCATGACATTTTTTCCCCAGAATCATACTAGATACTGTAATAACAACTTTGTAATAAAAATATCCTTGGAATTTAGTCCCAAGTCAAAAAGTAATAATAAAAATTGATAAAATATTAATGGAAAAAAATCAAGCTATCGAAATAATTCACAGAATTATGTGAAGGTAATATATTTTTTCTTTTAATGGTCTATGATAATATTTTTTTAATAATAAACAACCAAAATGACTTATAGTGTAAAGCTAAGAAAACAGAAAAATACAAAATAGTAGTATAGTTTGGCTGTAACTATGTGAATGATCTGTATATATGTGGACACATCCCAGAAGGTAAAATGCAAAGAGATACAGCGCAGTGGAATTGGAGACTTAAACAGTTTTTTCCTCTTATGAAGTATTTTAAGCATTCAGTCAAGTACAGAATATGAAAACACTCATGTACTCATTTCTCAGCCTTGTCAAATATTAATATTTTACTATATTCAATTTAGATTTAAAAAAATATTACAGATATAGCCGAAATTCCTTGTGTACCAATCACAGTCCATTCTTTCTCTCCCCAGAGGTAGCCACTATCCAAAATGTGGTGTGGATATATTTGAATTCCCATTAGACCTACGTTGAGACTTCCTGTCTTCCTCTATCTCTATGAAGCTTAACTTCTTTTTCATATTTTCCAACTCTTTATATTTTGTAAAGTTTGTTCAGATCCATCTTACAGTTCACTAATAATCTCTTCAACTGATCTAATACTTTATTTCAGTTTTTTGTTTTTAAATTAGTAGTTAGGTATAGTTTACATAAAATAAAATTCACCTTTTTTAAGTGTACAGTTCACTGAGTTTGACAAATCCATAAAGCCCTGTAAGAACATTTCCATCACTCCTTCTCTTATGCCCCTTTTGTAGTTAATTCCACCCCTCACCCTTAGAGAACTACTGATCTGTCTCTTGTCCCTATACATTTGCTTTTTATAGACTGTCACGTAAGTGGACTCAAACAGTAAGAACTCTTTGTTTATGGCTTCTTTCTTATAGAACAATGGCCCTGGATTGATCCATATTGCTGCACGTTATCAGCAGTTTGCTCCTCTTTATTATTTTTCCTTTGTAAAGATATACTGCAATTTGTTTATCATGAGTTGATGGATATTTGGGTTGTTTCCAGTTTGGGGCTATTATGAAAAAGCTGCTATGGACATTCATGTACAGGTCTTTTTGTGGACGTATGTTTTCATTTCCCTTGGATAATCTTTTTTTTTTTTTCTCGTTTCTTAACTCTGGCAATTTCTCCTTATTTTCTTTAAAGCTTATCGTTTAAAAGAATATTTTAAAAAATCTTATCTAGAAAAATATTTTATCTATATATTTAGTGTGGGAGGGGTTTTAGATCATCTAAACATCATATTGCCAGAAATGGAAGTTCAGATTGGGGATTTCTGAATCCTTTTGACAAAGCCAACTTCCATGTTTTGACATTATCTTTTCATTAAGCAAAATATTTTTTAAAAAGATGTGGACAGGAAGTCCTGATACATGCTACACACGGGATGAGCCTTGAAAATATTATGCTGAATGAAATAAGTCAGTCAGAATAGGACAAATATTGTATGATGCCACTTATATGAAATATCTAGAATATTCAAATGTATAGAGACCAAAGGTCATTACTGGTTTCTAGGGGCAGGAGGGAGGAGGAAGCAAAGAGTCATGGCTTAGGGGACACTGAGTTTCTGCTAAGGGTGATAAAAAAATTTGGAAATGGATAGTAGTAATGGTTACATGACATGATGAACATAGTTAATGCCATTGAATTGTACATGTAAAAAATGTTGCAATGGCAAATAAACATATTTTTACCATAATAAAAATAAATAAATAACCAGAAAAAAAAGAACAGGACAAAAATTTTGAAGAAAAGTTTATACTTAGATTTCCAAGTATTAAGGATTTCTTCCAGAAAGAGAAGTTATGATTAATAAATTCTAGGGATATAAAGTTAGATGGCTCACTCCTTAGTGGGGAAAAGCCCTTTAAAAAAAAAAAAAAAAAAAAAACTCACAAGGGCCCCTATAGTAGTCCTGGTTTTACCATTAAATATACGACTTTAAATAACTAACATCTTTATTTTTTGTCTCAATTTCTCCATCTGCAAAACAAACGTTACAAGGCTCCTGAGTAAATCTATGTAATACATGCAATATTATATTATTTAAAATTTTGTAATGCCATTCTGAACTTTTCAAATAAAAAAAAAACCCTATGTTAATGTGAGAGGAGCAATCTAGAAAAGAAGGATGAGAATGGTTGCACAACTTAAGGGATGTAATCAATGTCACTGAATTGTACATGTAGAAATTGTTGAATTGGTGTATGTTCTGCTGTGTATATTTTCAACAACAAAAATAAATTATTTAAAAAAACTATGATTGATACAAAAGGTGAGAGTTGGACTAAATTACTTCTAAGTACCCTTCTGTGTCTGAGATTTTACGATGCTATGACTGCAAAAAAAAAAAAAAATTATCCACAAGCAGCGAAATATACATTATGTAAAGGTATGTATAGAAATCATCCCTCATGTTCTGAGCTGGAATCAGTTTTGGATGCTCCCACGATTAACTATAAATAGTGTGTTTTTATTTTTGATAAGCTTATTTCAAAGTGTTAACACATTTGTACATATTTACAAGCTTAAATGTCATAAAATTTATACTAGTTAACCTGATGTATACGTCATGCCATATGTGGGTAACACACCTGTAAATCGTTTGCATTTTGAACTCATTTCATGTTTTGCTTCCAAAGAGGCTGGTTGACCTAAAAGACACTGAAGTTTTTCCTGGAAAATGCATGCTGGAGTCAAATTTAATGGTAGCTTCAGATCTTTTTCCTTGGACCTGAAATCACATCAAATTAAGAGAAATGAATACAAATTTTGAAAAAAAAGGAAAAATGCACACATTAAGAACTAAACATAAAATTTTAAGAAACAATAGAATTTGTTCCATTTATTCATCCTATATTTAAAAGAAAAAGCTCAATGAAAGTTTGCTATTAAGGCCCTCCATAATTATGCTTCTCATATATCTCCTCATTCTTATTTCCCACTGCTGCCTTATGTATGTTCTCTATATACTCCACCTCTCTGCCTTTGCTCATGCTTGTAATATTTTCTCTCCTGATACCTACTCAATTTGTCAAGATCATATCTACCCATCAATGCTCATCTCAAAGGACACCTCCTACCTAAAGTATTTCTCATCATTTCCTCACCTGATAATTATCGCTCTCATCAATGGCACTTTTCTTACCATAATATGTAAGTTATAATGTTTTGTCCTGTTTTCTCTAATTAATTATAAGAGCCTTAAACATAGAAACTATCTGGCAAAAAGCTTTATACAGAGCAATTATTCAATAAATAAATACAAGAACTGAAAAATGTATTCTTTTTAAAAAAACAGAGCAATGCCATACTATTCAGAAAAAGTGAAACACAGATTTGTTTGATTAGTTTAAACTCAAATCATATTTGGGATAGACAAACACTCCCATTACAGGCTATAAACATTTTACCATAAGTAAGCTGCTGAGCTGTCTAACACAGTAGCCACTAGCCGGTTGTGGTTATTTAGTTCCTTGGTTGTACTAGTCACACTTCAAAGCTCTATACACTGGAACATATAGAACACATATAGAACATTTCCATCATCAAAAAAAGTTCCATTGGCTAATGCTGAAGTAAGGATCCCACATGGTATATAAACACAAGCAATAATAAAAATATAAAATACTTTAGATGTAACTTTTATACTATTTTGTAACTTAAGTTTGCCTAAAAATACGTACCTTGTGAAACTGCTATCATGTTTACAGAACAGCTGGAGGGCCACACCAATTGAAACAGATGTCTTCCAGTCTCCAAGTTTATGTGCCAACCACACAGCTTCTGGAACCAGGCCACCAATAAATAATAATTCGAGTGCATATTCAACTGTCCACACATTAGAGAGATTCTGCTCTCTAACAACACTGGCCACCTTAGAGTGTTGTAGAAGAATAAGTCGAAGGGACTGCTCTGTGAATAAATGAAAGAAAATGGATATTACATTTACATGTATCAGAACTCAGGATTTGGAGTTATTAAAATGTCTCCTTAAATAAGTACTTTTATCTCTCCAATCGACCATTTAGTATTTTTTACACAAAACCACAACATGAAAATATATATAAAAATACCCTTCTAAAATAATACTTAACATATTCTGAAACAGTTTTTTTTTAAAATACTGAAGAATGTGCCTCATTAGTGCATCCTGAAACAAATGCCAGTATTTTAAAAAACTAAACAGAATAGAATAAAACATTAAAACAACAGAAAATATTAAGAGTGCATTACACAAAATAAAGGTAAATATTGTTCAATAAAACTTTTGTGTCAGATAACATGTACAGACATATAGATATTTATATCGACTGGGTCATAATGTACAATTTATTGTTGTGGTCTGCTCTGAAATATGTGTCTACTGATCACATTATAAAAATTTGGAGGGCACCCAGAACCTCCTGAAGAATGCCACGTGAGACTAGAGAGCAGTGCTTTGAAGCAGTCCAAGTGTGAAGATAGTCCTCCACCCCCTCCCACATCCTGAGACAATCATAGAACACAAGAGTTTGCATACATACTTCAAAATCCATGGTTCTATGATTGAATACATTTGCTGACCACTTGTTGCTACTTCTATTAAACTTCTAATCAGATTTATCTTGCATTACAATAACCTATGTGTTCCTTGTACATATTTATCAGCTCATGTTATCACCTGCTTAAAGCCCTCAAATAACTTAGAATACAATTCAGATTCCTTACACGGCTTACATCATCTGGCCCCTGCCATTCTCTGACTTCACCTCATAACACTTCCACCTCACCCTCTATGCTACAGCCATACCAGCCTTTCAGTTCTTCAAACATATCAAGCTTGTTCTTGCCTGGGGGCTTTTAAACAAGCTCAGTTTAGCCCTGATGTGTTCATGGGTGGCTCTTTCTTGTCATTAAGAGCTCAGCTTAAATGGCGGCTCTTAAGAGTGCTGTTCCCTAGATTTCCCATCTAAAACAGCCACTCAGTCACTATTGCATTACCCTATTTTCATTCTCTGCAAAATTATTACCATCAGATAGTTTTCTTGCTAGTGTATTTATTAATTTAATTTTCTGTCTCAGCCTATTAGAATGTAAACTCTATAAAAGAATAAGTACTTACCTGTTTTGTTTTGTTTTTTTCATGGAGTTAGGCTAAATCTGTCTTGCATGTCAAAAAAAAAAAAAAACTACAAATGTTTTTATATTGTCTACTTCATATGGTGAAGCACAATATATTCCCAGCACCTAGAACACTACCTACCACAAAACAGGTACTCAATAAAAAACAGTAGAAGGAATGAATACTACAAAAATTTCTGTACATGTTCATCTCCTTGAGGGCAGGGCAGTTACCTAGCACAGATTAGGAGCTTTCTTGACCCTACTAATGAAATGATTAACTACCAATAGAGTAAAGTAAATGGTCCAAATAAAATTCTAAACCAGCAGCGTTAAAATTTGTTACATTTTCATATTTTTGTACACACAAAGGTGGCAGCCCTTTTACCTTAAAAATAAAAATTTTACAGATATCAATTTTGCAAAATTTGTGACCAAAAAATCTATATTTAATAAAAACAGATCTAAGCAATTACCCCTCTCAGATTCTATTCATTCACAGATAGTCACTGAGCACCTGCTATGTGTCAGGCACTAAGTTAGAACAGTATTATTTCCATAGGGTAATAATCACTGTATGCAATAATAAAGGATATGATTTTAAATATTCTGTGCAAAAACAAAGGTGAAAAATTTGTTTACTATGTTACCTGTTTTAATATGAAGTGGAGGAAGAACATTCACATTGTGAGGTGGCAGAATGCAAAGCAGCTGATTGGTGAAATAGGCAGCCATGAACCGGGCCATGGACCGGATAACCCTCACTGCCGCCTCAGGATGCACATTTCCAGTCATTCCGAACTCACAGTGAGCCTTCTCAGAAACTAAGGACATAAAATAAATGCTCAAAGGAGATTCTGATTGAACTATCAAAAAGTAATAATATTTAAGTTCCCAATATTACAGAAGAAGAAAATTATAATTAAAATTTTTTTCTGTGAGATCAAATCCAAATTATATTGGTATCTATACTTCTTGAAGACAACTCGTGAAACCTGTCGATTCCATCAAGTTGATTCCAACTCATAGCGACCCTATACAACAGAGCAGAACTGCCCCGTGGGGTTTCCAAGAAGCGGCTGGTGGATTTGAACTGCTGACCTTTTGGTTAGCAGCTGTAGCTCTTAACCACTGCACCACCAGGGCTCCTATGAAGACAACAACCACCCAAAATTAAATAATTATGAGTGCATACACTTAGGAATTGTTCATTAACAGTTTTATTAAAATACAGAGGGATTTATACAAAACAATCCAAATATAATGGACTTGCAAGCCTAGCATTTCCCTTCCTCCTTCCCTTTCAAAAAATTTTTTTTAACTAAGAAGGGGAGGGATTGACTACAAAAATAACCTGAAAAACACAACAGTGATTCCTAATGCTTTTTCTATACCATTAGATCTGGGAAATATACTCCCATGAGTAACAGTGGTTCATTACTATAAGATTCTTTTGGGAGGTAGTAACATAAAGGGAATAGGTGGGGCAGAAAAAGAAGGCTTGTGGGGGGAGGTAGTTATATCAGAATTTCCGGGGTGATTCTGATGTGCCCTAGCAGGAACAGAGGACAAGTGTCATCACCATTTGAGAATCAAAACTCTGTAAGAATACAGACTAGAATTCAGAAATCTGAAAATTAACTAGTTGAAAACTACTAAACGTAAATACTAACTTAACATTAATTTTTAGGCAATTTATGGCCCCAAAACAAAAGTTATCTTTCTTTCCGAGAAACCACTAACTGCACATTCATATGAACCATTTCTATCTTGTTTACTGTATACCCTGTACCTAACACTCTTACAGTGCTGTTGTTGACAGGTGCTGTCGAGTTGGTTCCAACTCATAGTGACCCTATGTACAACACTCAAAAAAGTATTTGTCAATAAATGTATTTTTTAAAAGAGATCTTGAGAAAATTTTATTAACTTTCAAGTAGTAAACTTCATTTGGTTACTGTGATGGTTAAGATTGTATGTCAACTTGGCTGGGCCATGATTCTCAGTGTTTATATGTGATCACTCCCATGACTGAATATGCTGTGAATAGCCAATCAGTGGAAAGGGAGTTTCCCTGGGGGTGTGGCCTGCATCTGAATATAAGCTTTTCGCTCTGCTCTGGATCCTGTGGCTGCCTCCTGTTTGTCTGACCTCCGGTTCTTGGGACTTGAGCTGTCAGCTTATCTGCCGAACTTGGGATTCATCTATCTTCACAGCCTGTGAGCGGAGCCCTGATCTCTGACCTGCCAGTCCTGGGTTCGCCAGCCCCTGCAGCTATGTGAATCAGGAGAAACTCTGCAGTCTTGCCTGCCAATCTTGGAATTCGTTGACCTTCACAGCCTGTGAGAGGGAGCCCTGCTCTCCAACCTGCTGATCTTGGGCTCGCCAGCTTCTGCAGCTGCGTGAATTGGAAGAAGCCTCTACCCTGATCCATGGACTTGGGACATTCTAGCCTCTACAATCACGTGAGCTGTTTCCTTGATATAAATCTCTCTATACACGTATTTATACACGTTACTGGTTTTGCTTCTCTAGAGAACCCAGCCTAAGACAGTTGCTATGTTTGGGAAAATCACAGGATTTCTTCATAATAAAGTTAAAAATACATGAATGAGAATTTGTTTTCCTCCTGGGTAAAAATTACTGAAGGAATTTATCAAGGCAAGATTTCCAGTAATCTTAATCATGCAGAACCCATTATGCAAAATTCAAGAATAAGCCCCTCAAATACGGAGCAACCTGCTTATAAAAGATATGTTCACAGAGTAAAACTGCATTAATTCAGAAAAAAAAAAGTTGAAAGGGTAATTCTGTATATGGCACAGTTATAATGCTAATAATGGCAACTCTATACAAAAAAATTAAATTATAACTTTACAGAATGATATAATAAGGTAGGTGTGCAAAAAAGAGTCAGAATAGCAGGTTTGACTGCTATCCTTCAAAAGACATGCTTACAAGGTTAGCCCTTGACTAACATAGGGGAACTTGGATTTCAGGAGGTTCCCACTACCCTAACTGATACAAGTGGCTCACTGTGCCTAAACTGTACAAACAATGTGGTTTCTACTGAACACCTGCTTTCATTCTGGGAATGTGGAACTATAGCCATGCTAGGCATAGGGGGCCTACCTGATCAGCCCCCAGTAAAAAACTTGTGCACTGAGTCTCTAATGAGCTTCCCTGGTATATACAACATTTCACACATGGTGTCACAACTTGATGGGGAATTAAATTAAGCACATCACGTGTGGCTCCACTGGAGAGAACTCTGGAAGCTTTCACCTGGTTTTCCCAGACTTTGCCCCATATACCTTTTCCCTTTGGAGATTTTGCTTTGTATCTTTTCACTGTAATAAATCATAGCTGTGAGGATAACTACAGTCCTCTCAGTGAGTCAATGAACCTAGGGGTGGTCTTGGGGATGCCTGACACAGTCGGGAAATGCCTGATATATTTTAAACAATTGTTATTAAAAATTAAAACAAATACATTACTGTCAACTCAACTTATCTTGAAGGTTAAGTCATATAATGAAATACGGAGCCTTTGTGGAGGACAATTTGACACCAGGCATCAAAAGTCTCAAAACCTGGGGGACATCCAGGTCAACTGGGATAACACAGTTCATAAAGATAATGTTCTACATCTTACTTTGGTGAGTAGCACCTCAGGTCTTAAAAGCTTGTGAGCGGCCATCTAAGATGCATCTATTGGTTCCATCCCGTCTAGAGCAAATGAAGAAAACCAAAGACACCAGGAAAATATTAGTTCAAAGGACTAAAGGACCACACAAACCACAGCCTCCACCAGCATGAGCCCAGAGGAAATAATAGTGCCCAGCTACCACCATTGACCGCTCTAACAGCGATCACAACAGAGTCCTGGACAGAGGAGAAGATAAATGTAGAATCAAATTCAAAGTCACAAAAAAAGACCAGACTTACTGGTCTGACAGAGACTGGAGGAACCCAGAGACTACAGCCCCCGGACACTGCTAACTCAGAACTGAGACCGCTCATGAAGTCCACTTTTCAGACAAAGATTAGACAGGCCTATAAAACCAACAATAACACGTGTGAGGAACATGGGTTTTAGCTCAATCAAATATACAAGACCAAATAGGCAACTCCTGCCCAAAAGCAAGACAAGAAGGCAGGAAGGGACAGGAAAACTGAACAAATGGACACAGGGAACCCAGGGTGGAAAGGGGAAGAGTGCTGTCACATTATGGGGATTGCAATCAGTATCACAAAACAATATGTGTATGAATTTTTGAATGTGAAACTAACTTTATCAGTAAACTTTCACCTAAAGCATGATTTAAAAAAAAAAACAAAAAAAAAAACACCTCAAAATTGTGGATTCTCTTTGATCCAGTAACCTAATTCCTAGAAATTTATCCCAAAGAAATTATCAGCACACCACAAAAAAAGAAAATTACAGACCAATATCCCTCACGAACATAGACGCAAAAATCCTCAACAAAATACTAGCCAATAGAATTCAGCAACATATCAAAAAAATAATTCACCATGATCAAGTGGGGTTTATACCAGGTATGCAGGGATGGTTCAACATTAGAAAAACAATCAACATAACCCATCACATAA